GTTATTGTTTCCCCTGCCTGGTATTGTTTTCCCCTGCCTAATTATTGTTTCCCCCCCTTGTTATTATTTCCCTGCCTGGTATTGTTTTTCCTCCTTGTTATTGTTTCCTGCCTGGTATTGTTTCACCTGCCTAGTATTGTTTTACCACCTGGTATTATTTCCCCTGCCTAGTATTTTCCCTGCCTAGTTATTGTTTTACCATTATTAGTTGTTTCCCTACCTGTTATTGTTTCCTGCCTAGTTTATGTCCCCTACCTGGTGTGTTTCACCTGCCTAGTTTTGTGTCCCCTGCCTGGTTGTTTTACCGTATTGTTTCCCCTGCCTGGTTTGTTTCCCCTGCCTTGTTATTGTTTCACCTGCCTGGTGTGTTCTCCTCTTGGTTATTGTTTCCCTCTCTAGTTATTGTGCCCCCTATTCCCTGCCTTGTTATTGTTTCCTCCTGCCTAGTTATTGTTTCCTCTTGCTAATTGTTTCCCTACCTAGTATTGTGTCCCTACCTGTTATTATTTCCCCTACCTGGTATTGTTTCCTCCTGCCTAGTATTGTTTCCTCACCTAGTATTGTTTCCCCTGCCTAGTATTTCCTCCTGCCTAATTATTGTTTCTACCTATTGTGTGCCCCCTGCCTAGTATTATTTCCTCCTGCCTGGTATTGTGCCTGTTATTGTTTCTCCTGCCCCTGCCTGGTGTGTTTCCTCCTTCCAGTTATTGTGTCCCCTGCCTAGTTATTTTCCCCTGCCTTGTTATTGTTTTCCCTGCCTTGTTATTGTTTCCCTGCCTTGTTATTGTTTCCCTGCCTGGTATTGTGTCCCCTGCCTTGTTATTGTTTCCCCACCCTAGTTATTGTTTCCCCTGCCTTGTTATTGTTTCCCCTACTGTTATTGTGTCCCCTGCCTTGTATTATTTCCCCACTTGTTATTGTTTCCTCCTGCTTGTTATTGTTTCCCTCCTGCCTTGTGTGTGTTTCCTCCCTATGTTATTGTTTCCCCACCTGAGTTATTGTGTCCCCTGCCTTGTTTTTGTTTCTGCCTAGTTATTGTGTTTCCCCTGCCTGGTATTGTTTCCCCTACCTATTATTGTTTCCCCTACTTGTTATTGTTTCCCTGCCTAGTTATTGTCCCCTACTTACTTTGTTGTCCCCTGCTAGTTATTGTTTCCCCTGCCCTGGTATTGCTTACCTGCCTTTATTTCCCCCTGCCTGAGTTATTGTTTCCCCTGCCTAGTTATTGTTTCCCCTGCCTAGTTATTGTTTCCCACTGCCTGATTGTTATTCCCCCTGCCTAGTTATTGTTTCCCTCTAGTTATTGTTTTCCCCTGCCTAGTTATTGTTTCCCTGCCTGTTATTGTTCCCCCTACTAGTTATTGTTTCCCCTGCCTAGTTATTGTTTCCCTGCCTGGTTATTGTTTCCCCTGCCTAGTTATTGTTCCCCTACCTAGTGTATTTCCCCTGCCTAGTTATTGTTTCCACCTGCCTAGTTATTATTTCCCTGCCTAGTTATTGTTTCCCCCTACCTAATTATTGTTTCCCCTGCCTAGTTATTTGTTTCCTGCCTTATTGTTTCCCTGCCCTGATTATTGTGTCCCCTGCCTTGTTATTGTGTGTCCCTCCTTGTTATTGTTTCCCCTGCCTAGTTATTGTTTCCCTGCCTAGTTATTGTTTCCCCTGCCTAGTTATTGTTTCCCCTGCCCTAATTATTGTTTCCCCTGCCCTGATTATTATTTCCCCTGCCTTGTTATTGTTTCCCCTTAGTTATTGTTCCCTGCCTAGTTATTGTTTCCCCTGCCTTGTTATTGTCCCCTGCTAGTTATTGTTTCCCTTGCCTTGTTATTGTGTC